CTCCTGCCATTTACCTCCCAACGACCAATAAGATCACATAGGTTGGGCCTCCTCCGGGTGCCGTCGACCAGACAATGCCTTCTCTGTAGCTGCACCGGCCTTGTGGAACGAGCTACCTGCTGAGATCCGGGCCCTCACCACTCTCCTGGCTTTCCGTAAAGCGACCAAGACCTGGCTGTTCCGGCAGGCCTGGGGCTGTTGATTAATTTCCAGTCCCACTTGATGGAATGGATGTTGTATTGATTTTAATTCTGTATTTTTAAATATTTTAAATGCTTTTACTTGTTGTGAGCCGCCCAGAGTCCCTAGGGAGTGGGCGGCATACAAATCCTATTAAAGTTTAAAGTTTCTCTGAATTATTAAATGGCGCTGTTTAAAATTTTACATATACATATAGAAATAATAATTGGACATATATCACCCCATAGTGCTTTACAGCACTTTCTGGGCAGTTTACAATGACAGCATATTGCCCTCAGCAATCTGGCTCCACATTTTACTTGACCTCAAAAAAATGGAAGGCTGAGTCAACTTTGAGCACCATCAGGATTGAACAGCAGGCTGTGGGCAGAGCCTGCAATACTGCATTCTAACCCCTTTGTCACCAGGGCTCCCTAGATATACTACTCAGATTGGATAGTATATGTAACTATAGTATATGTAACTATTAATCTGTACATACATACATACATACATACATACATACATACATACATACATACATACATACATATATTATATAAATATAATCTTTACTTTTGAACATTATTTCAATTGTACTATGTAGAATGTTTATGGGGATTCTTAATCATTCAGGTCATGGTTGTCCCAAAGGTTTTTTTTCCTCAAAGAACTGAAGAAGCTTCTTGGATGAGAAGTGAAATGTTTTCAAAGAAAAAAAGCAAAAAAAGGCCACTTCCTTTTCGAATATGCACCTTTGAGGTACTAACTTGTTTTCCTGAAAATAAAACCTCCCCGGATAATAAGCCCAATCGGGCTTTTGAGCGCATGCGCTAAAATAAGTCCTCCCCAAAATATTGCAAACACAGCAACAGTTATGAGATGACCACGCTCGCCACCGCCTGCACCTCAAAAATAATAAGACCTCCCCGAAACTAAGGCCAAGTGCTTATTTCGGGAGTCAAAAGAAAATAAGATCCTGTCTTATTTTCAGGGAAACACGGTGTGTAGAATCTTCTTCGGGACAATAGAATTGTTGCTTTGGTGTTTAGTTTTTTTTTTTAACTGGAGTTCCTGAAAAGTTAATGACTGTCTCAGTATCTTTATTTTAACTTTTAGTCATACAAAAAAAATATTGACTTAACTTTATCTTAACTTTTATTAATGTAAAACAAATTCTGAAGGCCAGATAGTGAATAGGAAACAGATGTTTTATTCAAATGTGTTGATTTATACTGTCAGGCTCAAGCATCC